TCTATATTGTAGCCCTGGAGCGGCGCTCTGCCCCGTGGCATGCCGCGTCACCTCTGATCTCCCTTCCTCTCTCAAATGTGCTTTTTATTAGTTTCTGAGTGGAGAGTAGGGCTGGCTTCTCTTCCTAACACTGGTGTGATTCCTCTCTGAGGAATTCTAGTTCTGTATTCGGGCTGGGGATAATGGTGGGCAGAGGTACAGATAGAGCAGAAAGACCAAAAGCGTGTGGCGGTGGTAGGACGCTGGGAGGGACGTCCGGCCCCTCGGTGCAAGAAAGGACAAGATCAGAGGCAGAGGTGAAGGACCTACCAGGCAGGCAAAACTGGGCCCAGACACTGTCCCCAGTACCTGCCTCTGGGAGTCTGGGCAGAAGAGGGAAGAGGTAGTGGAAGGCACAGTGAGGCCACCAACCTGAAGCAGCATCATATACACATCACCTATTGCAACTATTTCCTTACCATCTAGCTCCCGCAGTAAACTGTGAGCACCTGGAAGACAGGGAGACTGTGTGTGAGTGTGTGTGTTTCACCTTGTATCCCCTGGCCCCAGCACATGGTAGATCTTAATACATGGAGGCTAAAAGGAAGCAATTTACACCTGTCCAGAAGAGCCAAGCTACCCAAGACCAGATCTCTGAGCTGCCAGGTTGACCTCAAACACCTGGAAAACGAGGGGAGGGGGGCAGGGCTGACATCACCTAAGCTCCTGCTTTTTTTCTGAACAACTCAGGGCACATCACGTTTGTGTTCTCCTTCGGGGAGCCCAGCATTTATCGAGCACTTACTACTCCAAGCATGAGGTCCTTGGTGGTTCGGTGGTAGAATTCTCACCTTCTATGCAGGACATCTGGGTTCAATTCCCAGCCAGTGTGCTTCATGCATAAGCCACCCATCTGTCAGTGGAGGCTCGTGTGTTGTTATGATGCTGAACGAGTTTCAGCAGAACTTCCAGACTAAGATGGACTAGGAAAAAAGGCCTGCCTATCTACTTCCAAAAATCAACCAATGAAAACCGTGGGGATCACAATGGCCAGTCCTCCACCAATCTTTGGGGTGGTGCAGGAGCGGGCAGCATTTTGCCTCATCGCACATGGGGTTGCCGTAAGTCAGGTGCCCATTTGATGACAGCTAACAACAACACTCCAGGCAATCGACTGAGATTTGGAAGAAATACAAGAGCAAAGAGAAACAAACGGGTTTGAAGAGCAAACTGAGCCAGCAGACACACCACTTGTTGGCTGAGTTCCCAGGCCAGCTGTGTGCTTGACTTTCCTAGATCTCATTGTCCACATCTGTAAAATGGGAATAACTAGGTGGGAAGGAGAAGGACATCTCCTACCCTGCTGATTGATGGAAATGGGTGTGACCCTGCAGGACAGTTCGGTAATGCCACAGAAGTTCTTTCGAATGAACGTACCCTCAGACTTGGCAGTTCCACGTCTAAAAATTTATCCTAAGAAAATGATCAAGTCTGGAGGAAATGCAGCTACGAGAATGTACATTACTTGTTGATAATGGCTGGAAATAATCTAAACAAATGATAGAAATGTGGCTGACTATAATAATTCATAAATGGAATATCATATAACCGCTAAAAGTTTAGTAGCTATTTCCCTTGCAAGCAAAGTGGTTTATGACATGTTAAATGAAAAAGGCTGGTTACAGCCTGTATGTACAGCAGGATGCTTTTTTCAGAAAGAGGAGTTTTACTCCAAAGATTAGCCGTGGTTATCTTTGTATTGCAGGATTAACCAATAACCAATTGCCATGGAGTTGATGCCAACTCATGGCGCCCCCACAGGTCAGAATAGGACTGTGCTCCATAGGGCTCTTCATGACTGGTTTTTCAGAAGTAGATCCCAAGGTCTTTCTGCCAAGGTGTCTCTGGGTGGGCTCGAACCGCCAACCTTTTGATCAGCAGTCGAGACTATTAACCATTCAAACCACCATTGTAGGATTACAGCTAACTTAAATTTCCCTCTCGTGTTATCTATACTTTCTACAATAAGCATACATTATATTGTAAAGGTAATAAAATAAGTTATTAAATAAAATACCTATCTCTAAAGATTGTTTTAAGGGCTAAAGAATGTACTTTACATGAAATTACTTCATAAACTAAAAAATTATGCAAAATACGCTAGATGGTGCCCGGCTACCACCAATGACCGCCCTGGTAGAGAACAAAACAGAGAGTCCCTGATGGAGCAGGAGAAAGGTGGGGTACAGAACTCAAATTCTAGTAGGAAGACTTTATGGTCCGACTGAGACTGGAGGAACCCTGGAAAGCATGGCCCCTGGATTCTCTATCAGCCCAGAACTAAAACAATTTCTGAGGCCAACTCTTCAGACAGGGATTGGACTGGACTGTGGGACATAAAGTGATACTCGTGAGGAGTGTGACTCTTAGCTCAAGTAGATATAAGAGACTAAACGGGCAGCTTCTGTCCAGAGGTGAGATGGGAAGTCAGACAGGGTTAGGAGCTTGTTGAATGGTTATGGGGAAGCAGGGGTGGAAAGGAGGAGTGTGCTGTCATAGAATGGGGTGAGCAATTAGGGTCGCATAACAATGTATGTATAAAAATTTTGTATGGGAAACTAACTTGAAATGTAAACTTCATTTAAAGTACAACAATAAATAAATACAATTAAAAATTATACAAAATATGAAACAGGGTCTCTACCCACGGGGAGCTTACAGTTTAGAAAGAGAGGTGGGAGATATACAGGATAGCTATAGCACAGAGCAGAATGTGTAAGAACTCTAAGTGCATTGCAAACAGCATATTGTCTGGAAACAAGAGAAGGTAGAAATTACTTGTGGCTGTGGAGGCAGCGGTATTTGATTCGAACATTGGAGACTGGTTAGGATTTTGTCAGGTAGAACTGCAGAACTGGGGCAGAAGCGGGAAATTATGGAGCGGTTTGGAGAATGGAAAGTGGCTGTGTGTGGATGGTGGGTAGACAGCCTGAGGGTGAAGAGGAGATGTGGTTAGGAAGGCACTTCTAAGCCAGGTGTTAGACACCTTGAATGCCGTGCTTGGTACAATGACACCTGCAAACATTGGTTGGGTGCCATCTACATGTAAGGAGTTTATTCTGGGGACAGCGGGGCATCAGTGACCATGCTGGGGCAGTGGTAACACCACCTGTAAGCCCATGAGGACAGCCAGATGCTCACTGCTGTGTTCCTGGAGCACGGAATAGGTTCTCAATGGGTGCAGCTTGTGGCGTCCGCCTCTCTGGAAGCTGAGCCTGGAAGCAGCAGTGTGAGATGAGCTGGCGGGGCTGACGGCAGGAGGGCTCCGGCAGGCAGGACCACAGAGCTGGGCCCTCTCCAGATTGTGTCACCGACTGGGAAGGGATGGGAAGTGGGGAAGAGAGCCCCGTGAGAATGAGGTGGGGCCCAGCAGAGGGAGGAATCAAACATCTCTTCTAGATTGGCTCCTAGGTGGCCAGGGAACTGGGGGAACAGTCACAGAATTCACAGAAAGGTCATTTGGAGGAGGAGCAGGTTGGGGCGAGGTAGGGGGAGGTGGTAGGAGAGATTCGGAATCCTCTCTCAGTTGGTCCTGATCTCTTGGGGATGCCCCAAGGCAGGCGGTGGCCAGAGGGGCCCGAGATGCCTACTGCCTTAAGTGTCTCCATCTTCCTCATTTCCTCAGTCCCACCTCCCTGGAGACGGGTCTGGGGGGGTGAGGGTGGGGCTTGTTTCAATCCAGAGAGCTTTCGTTAATAAAAATCCATTAACTAGTCTGCCTGCCCTTGGAGCTTCTCTCAGCTCAGCCCATCCATCCTCCTAGCATGCCCCGCTTCTTCTCTCCTGCTACCAGGAACTCATACTTTCCTTGGTATCCTGGATGCTGTCTCTCTGCTACCCTCACCTACAGCAGTGCACACGCACACACACGCACGCACACGCACACACACACACACACCCTGGAAGGCAGGCAGGAAAGTCTTCTTGTTCAGGCAGACGTCTGAACTTCCAGGTCCCTGCTGCAGCTCCCAGCCGGGGCCACTGTTGTCATGCTGCTAGTTAATTACTGAGGTGCAAATGTGTTTTTGCAGGGAGACTCAGGTGGTGTTAACTAGGAAGGAACCGCTGATGCTAAAGATGCATTTACCTGTGGTGGAGGGCTGGGCTCCGGGCTGGAGGACCTCCGCAATGGTGCCTGAGACTGCGGCCCTGCCACCCGGGCTCCCAGCACTGCCCAGCTGGGGTAGTTAGTTGACCCGGTCCAGTTAGAGACTCGATGTACAAGGAGAAATGGATGACTGTTTGGGCAGTATCAGGCCAGAGCTTATGACAAGAGAGGACCCCACCAAAATTTCCAGACACCTTCGTCTGATTCAAATATGGAGAAAAAAAAATTTATTCACTTAATTAAAAAAAACACATACACAACAGGTTATGCGGCTAAAGCCACCTGTAGGCCACAGGATGTCCTTCACTGCTAATTTCTGCTCTTGCTCCATTCCTTCTGGACTTTTCCTTCTGCACCCTCAGCCACCAAGCCCCACCCCGGTCAGCGTCTCCCCAGCCCCTAGACAAAGCCTGCAGATCCCAGGAAGGATCTGAAACTCATCCGCGTGACTGGAAAAGCTGCAACTGCCACCGCTTCCTCTTAAAATAAGGTGTCAGCGAAGGCCTTCCCAATGCCCCGAAATCACTCCGTGGAGACATGGCCCACAGGTCAGGGCGAGGGCCGCGTGGAAGCCTGGTGTCAGGAAGCGAGATGAGCAGAAACGTGGCTCTGCATCGGTGGCGAGGGGTGGGCTCTCAAACGGCCCGGTGGGCCTGAGCAGACACCCAAGGAGAGAGAGGGGATCGGTAAATACAGTAGAAAGACGTGTGGAGGAAATGGGATTGTTCCCTCAGAGCCTAGAGAAGGAGAAGGGTGGAGGAGGGGCGGTGGTGGACAGAGCCGAAACCCTTTTCTCTGCTCACCCTACACCTCTAATCTTCCCCGCTGAGACCTGGTCTGCCTCTTCACACAGGTGCTTGGGCTCTGGCTGACAGGAAGATTCTCTGGCCCAGCTGGGAGTAAGAAGAGGGGAGGACGTCTCCTGAGGACCATCCCAGAGGCCGCCAGGATCACCCAAACAGTAAGAAATGCTTTTCCTTCCTTCAACACATAGCTAAGTCCCCAGGTAGATTATGTTTCCTTCTGAAAGCTGCTAGAACCAGCTCATCATGTTAGCATCCACGGCCTTAGAAAGCAAAGCAATGCATTACCTTTTTCACATCTTTGTTTTACCTCTTCAGCTTCTTGAGAATGAGGGTTATGCCTTATGCATGTATACGTCTCTTTTTCTTCTGTGTTCTGTGAGCAATAAATTTTTGTTGGTATAGATGGATGGGGCATTGTTTATATTCACGGTGATGATATTTGTACAACTCTCTGGAGCAAATGTTGTTGTTGGTGTTTTTGTCGTTGTGAGTTGCGTCAAGTCGATTCCGACTCATGGCGACCCCATGTGTGCAGAGTAGAACTGCTCCATAGGGTTTCCAAGGCAGTGACCTTTCAGAAGCAGATCGCCAGGCCTGTCTTCTGAGATGCCTCTGGATGGGTTCAAACCACCAACCTTTTGACTAGAGTTCAGCATTAACCGTTTGCCCCACTCAGGGACTCTAGAGCAAGCATTATCACCTAAGAATCACCTGGGGGTGCTCTTTTAAAATGCAGTTCCTGGACCCCACAGCCAGAGGTGGGGGTCTAGGGTAAGTCCCAGGAATCTGCACCCCAAGTGTTTCTGATGAACGTTGGGGAAACCTTATCCCACGTGTTTCTGATGAACTCTGAGAAATAGGTCTTTAGCATTTATAAGGCATTTTGAATAAAGCATCTCATTTAATCCTCTTATCGGATAGGTTTTTTTTTTTTAATCCCCTTAATTAAATAACTTCCTAATCTCACAGTTGCAATATAGGCAGAGATTTAGAATCCAGTTATCCAAAACAACCCTTTTGCTTTCCAGTATGCCGTGATAAGGGCTGGATCTGTTATGATGCGGTTGGGCCCCCAACTCCAAGGACCCTGCCCAGGATTTTGTAAGTTCCTCTATGTTCTAGGGCCACCATGTCCTTAGAGTCCATCAGCCTTTATTTTGGGGGCAGTTCCAGACTAAGATGGACTAGGAAGAAAGGCCTGGTGATCAGCTTCCAAAAATCCACCAATGAAACCTCTATGGATCACAACAGTCTGATACACAACCGATCGTGGGGATGGACGGGACCGGGCAGCTTCTTGTTCTGTTGTGCATGGGGTTGTCACGAGTCAGGGGACAGCTAACAACAGCAATCATTGCCACCACCACCGTCTGTTTGTCCTACTGCGGTGGCTCGTGTGGTGCTAGAAGCTGTGCCACCATATTTCAAATACTAGCAGAGTCACCCAGCGTGGACAGGTTTCAGCAAAGCTTCCAGATGAAGACAGACTAGGAAGAACAGCCTGGTGATCTACCTACAAAAATTAGCCAGTGAAAACCCTGTGGATCACAACGGAACACTGCCCAACTCACTTGCTTTGGACACATCATCAGGAGGGATCAATCGCTGGAGGAGAAGTTTGGTGAAGTAGAGGGCCAGCAAGGGCCAGGGAGACCCTCGGTGAGACGGGTGGCGCTATAGCCACAGCAGTGGACTCGAACGTGCTGGCAGTAGTGAGGATGATGCAGGACCCAGCAGTGTTTCCTTCTGTAGTACACGGAGGTGCCAGGACTCAGAGTCAACTCAATGGCAGCTCACGACAGCAGTCATTGCCAACAAAACCTGGTTTTCCTGGAGCGAGGGAGAGAGACAACCACAAGGTCAATGTTCCTGGGCCCGGCTCCCGATGTAGGTAGATGGTGGAGCCATGGATATCAAGAGAGGACTGCATTCCAGAAGATGACAGAGCTGGCCAGCAATGAGTGTCCTGTCTCCTGTCCCCTCTGCCTGTGTGGGGCGCATGCTACACCCCTTGAGGTGGAAGCTGGAAGGGAGGCACATTTAGAAGGGGGTCAAGACTGCACTAAGTATGGGCTGGAGCACTGCCCTCTGAGGGACGGGTTGCCGATCTTGTCAACAGCATTTGGGACCTGCATGCATGGTGATTTGAAGGGAGTCCACTGTAGATGGTGGCTGTGGTGGGAACTTGGAGAAGGTAGGGGAAGGTGAAACAAAGGGAAAAAGCACAAGGGTTATAGACTCCTGGCAAAACAGCTGGGAAGTGTATTGTTGCCAAGTCCCACCCAGTGGCTTTCTCTGGGACTGACAATAGAACTGAGTACCTGGGAGAGCCCTATTTCTCTCCAGGCCAAGGCCATGGATCGCCATGGGTTGGAATCAACTTGACGGCCACCAACAAGACTATGGATGCTGAAGTCCAAACAATCCAGAATGTGCCTGGGAGAGTGGAGGTGCCCCTGCCATCACCAACAGGGTAGACTATGGGGAAGGATGGAAATAGGTTGACTGACTGCTAATTCCTGCTGTGGGTTATGTCTTTCTATAGGATGGAAGACTCCATGAACGACATAGAGGCAAACTCTAACTCCACCCCTCTTCCCTGGCACATGAATATACACACACCCACTGACCACTGAACAGTCTTGACGAGTCAGTAACAGTATAGTCTGTCCTGGGGACCAAATGCAGTTGACATGGCTGCACGGATGGGTGCAATTGGCAAGGACAATTTTTGCAATGAATACTGGAAGTGTGGCAATCAGAGAAGCCGCCAGCTGTCTCACTTAAATTCTTAGCTCTCTCACTCTCTCTTTTTTTTAAAATCGTTTTGCTTACATAATCCACCCCCTTTTTATTTTCTAATTCTCTCCTTGCAAAGCTGGCATCGGAGGGGAAGGGCTGGGGTGGAGGGGGTAGCAATTACACATCAGTTTGAGGAGCATTTACATTTGGCAATTACAATTTAAAAATAAGTCTCGTTAATGATCTCCACGTGTAAACGACAAACCCTAACTGACTTACATACTCTCTCGGGCCTGCCTGCCTCCTCCTGAAGTCAGAGGCTCAGAGGAGGCAGAGGTGCCAGGGGAGACAGAGGAGGAGGCTGGGGCAGCGTCTGTGGGGCGGAAAGAGCAATTAGGGTGCCTCTGAGGTTGGTGGAGGACAGACCTGGGGCAGAGAACCAGGAAGCCGAGAATTCTGGACTGCCAGCTTCTGGCCTCCTCTCGCTCCTGCGCTCGGTCCTAGCCCACCTCCTTCCAAACCCTCGCGCGGCAGGTCTTTGTCCCCAGGAAGCAGTGCCAGTGCTCAGAGCTCTGAGGACAAGAAAACCCAACCGTGGATATATTCCGAAGCAGGAATTCTTAGAGTCCCTTTGGGCAAAAGTGAATCCTAGTCCCCAGGACCATGCCAGTGTATCTGGATATTCATGGATTGGGAAAGAGTCTGATGCCTTATGTAGGTTCCTGAAGGGGACAGGATGAGTTGTGTCTCAGCTAGGGAAAACAATTCCTCCTCTTGCCGATTTGTTGCTGTCAGTTGCCGTAGCATATACACCGACTCATGGCAACCCCGTGTATAGCATTGCCTGATGCTGCGCCATCTTCCTGATCGTTGGCGTGCTCGACCCCGTTGTTGTGGGCACTGTGTGTTCTGAGCGCTTTCCAATCTAGGGGTCTCCTCTTCCAGCGCTATATCAGACAACATTCTGCTGTGATTATCAGGATTTTCATTGGCTAGTTTTTAAAAGTAGATCTCCACGCCCTTCTTCCAGTCCGTCTTAGTCTGGAAGCTCCTTTGAAACCTGTTCACCACAGGTGACCCTGCTGGCATTTGAAATCCTGGTGGCGTAGCTTCCAGCATCACAGCAACATGAAAGCCATCACAGCAGGACAGACTGACAGATAGGTGGTGGTCTTGTCAATTAGCTGACGTATTTATCCAAGCCCCCTGATTCCTTGAGTAATGTGAAGAGCAGGGACTTGGGAATCAGACCCACCTAGACTAGACTAGACAATCAGTTAGACCCAGGTTCTAAATCCGCCATTTTCTGGCTGTGGGATTTGGGGCAAGTTATATAACTTAATTTTTCTAACTGCCATTTTCTTTATGTAACTGGGATAATCCTACTTACGTCACAGGGCTTCTGTGAGGATTAAATGAGATAATGTACCAGAAGTACTCACACAAAGTCTGGCACATTGTAAATGCTCAGTAAATGTCACTTCCTTTCCAAGCCCCTCCACCGCAGCCACCCTGTTTCCTCCCTACCCGCGTGAAAGCTGCTTCTTTTCCAACCACCATGGACACCAAAGAAGGATGACCTGTTCTGATTTCTCCAGTCTCTGCTCAGAGTCAAGCCACCTGCATCCTGAGCAGCCCTGAAATGGGCACAACCCTCTCCCTCATGCACACAAACTCACACATATACACACCCACACACACATTCACACACACATACACATTCACACACACACACACATTCATACACACACACCCACAAACTAACAGTCACACACACCCACTCACACCACACAAATATTCACTTATGCACATACACATATTCACACATACACACCCATATTCACACACATTCACACACTCACCCCCACACACATACACATAGTCACACACACACACACACATACACACACTCATACACACACATGCATGCACACATACACATTCACTCACACACACCCCACACACAAATATTCACTCACACACACTCACACACACACTCATCCCATAGGATTTCCTGCAGGGTCTTAACATCAGGCTTCGGCTCCCGCCCCCAGCTTCTCATCACCCTACTCTGGCTGTACAAGCCCAGTCCTCTCTTCTCTGGACACGAATTCACTCGTGTGACCTTTTAGTGGCCACTGCTCCTCTCTCGGAGCCCTGGTGGTGCAGTGGTTAAGAGCTCGGTTGGTTAGCAGTTCAAATCCACCAGCTGCTCCTTGGAAACCCTTTGGGGCAGTTGGACTCTGTCCTACAGGGTCATATGAGTTGGAATCCATTCAACAACAACAGGTTTCACGGGCCCCTCTCTGGGCCCCTCTACGCTCCGTATCTGTGAGATGCGCAAGGTGGGCTAGGAGCCCTCTGAGGTGCCTTTCCGTCCTGACATCCTGTGACCCTCGGCTTCACATTCCCA